CCGCCCCCGCCCCCGCCCCCGTCCTGCACCCGCTCACCCGCCCGCTCCCGCAGCTTTGACTACCACCTCTCCGCCGCGCTCTCCCCGCCGTCCGACCCGGCGGCGCTCACACGCTGCGCCCAGGCCGCACTCAAGGCCGCGCACTTTGGCTTCGCGCCCCCCGGCAGCTGCACGCTCGCCGCGCTCCCCCCCGCGCTGCGCCAGAACGCCCGCTTCCCGCGCTGCCGCGTCCTCGCGGTCTGCCCCACGATGCGCTTCCCCACGAGCGTGCGCTGGCACCGCGACCTCGCGTACAACACGACGTGGAGCCTCCTCGCCGCCGTCGAGCGGTGGAACCTGCGCGCGGACGCGGACGCAGACGCAGACGCAGGGGCGAGGACGGGGACGGGGATGGGGACGGGCGCGGGCGAGCGCATCGAGACGGTCGCGGTGACGGGGCTCGCGACGGGCGTCGGGGGCGTCGACAAGGACGTCTGCGCGCGCCAGATGGTCCTCGCGCTCGCGCACTTTCTCGACGTCCGCAGCGCAGACGGCCGGCGGCGGTGGGCGCAGGACGGCTTTCCCCGCTGGGACGACGTCCTGCCCATCGCTCGCTCCGTCGAGACGCGTCCGGAGGACGGCAGTCCCGAGCGCGGGGACGGAGCGTAGCTTTTCGCTCGGATCGAAGATAAGGTGTACGTTCATGCGTCCAGCCGTTGTATAACACTGCCGCGCGCTTTGCGCGTGGGGCGCACGATACGAGAGAAACCGGAACTGCTGCCATGTCTGCCTGGTTTGTTCGCAGTTTGAGCTAAGCGCGCTTTCCTGCGCCATGCATGTAAACAGGACTCTTTTATACGATGCAGGAGCCCCCGCCTCCACGTCCAATCCATAAGAGTCCGTGATGTAGAGGAAATCCGTCTAAATGAGTCTCTACGTGACAGGCGCAGTCGCCCTTTGATCGCGAGCCCTGCTCCATGGCCGCTGAGCCTGCCAGCATCCCGACTACAGCTTGGCTTTCGGCACAAGGGACAGCTTGCCCTGCTCCTTCATCTCCTTTGCGCGATCTCGAAGGACCCGGCGGAGCAGCTTCCCACTCGGGTTTTTGGGTATCACGTCCACAAACTCGACGCCGCCCGCCAGCCGCTTGTAGTGCACCTTCGCGTCGGCCACGTGCTGGCGCGCGGACAGCGTGTCAGACAGATTTCTTGCGCGAGCGAGGAGCACGCACCTTCATCAGCGCCTCGCGGATCCTGGCGGCCTCTGCGGCGTCCGCCTTTATGCGCTCTGCGGCGGCAACGCTGGGCACGACGAACGCGAGTGGCAACTCGCCGTTGTAGTCGTCGGGAAGGCCGACCACGCAGACGTCCGACACGTCTGGGTGGTTGAAAAGATGTCCCTCGAGCTCCGCGGGGGCCACTTTGGGGTCAGTCAGACGAGCAGGACAGCGCTGTGCGACGGCATGACTGACCTTGGAAACCTTTGACCTTCAGCAGCTCCTGTGCACGTTGGTGTGAACATCGCGAATTCCGAGACGGCTCTGACCGAACTGACCTTGATCCGGTCCACGACAAAGACATCTGCGGATTCGGTGATGTAGACCTCATCGCCGGTAGCAACCCATCCGTCGTCGAATGTTTCTTTTGTCCTGCAGTACGTCTCAGAACGACTGTCCAAACAAAATAGGACATGGCTTACGCCTCCTCGTTGTTTAGATATCTCAGGGCATTTGACGGGCTTTTGACAACCAGGTGCCCCGGTTCACCGGGTCCGGCCAATGAGCCGTCTGTCTTTACGACACGTGCGATCACATCGGGAAGCAGACGTCCAGCGCTACCAGGCAAGCAGATTTTCTGCTCGATTTGGGGGAAGGAGATCGTGGTCGATGTTTCCGTCATGCCTTATGTTGATCGTTGGCAATCTGACATCTAGCCGAGTTGGACGCTTCACTTACCGTAGCCCTGTCCGATGTGGACTTGAGGTAGCACTTGGGCGAGCTGATGCGTGAGCTCTGCGGAAAGGGGAGCGGCACCACTGAAAATAGCATGCATAGAGCTCAGATCGTGTTTCGCCACTGCTGGGTGCTGCCACGCGGACAAAGTCAAAAATGCCCAGTGCGCGCAGCAGTGATCGACGTGCCTTGCATAGTAAGACTATCATGGGAGGAACGACACTGGGCGACACACCATGAGCCAATCGTCAGGAAAACACACGACCGCAGTACACACTCACGGGCAAAATGCTACGCGATAGCGCTCGATACTCTTGAGGATGCTAAGAAACTCAAACTTCGGTACCACAAGCAGAGATTCCTGATGCAGACGCCATCAGTGCGCGTCTGAACTGTGTAGTAACAGAAATCCTCACTCCGTAGAATATCAGGAAATGCATGAGCACAACGAGACCATAGATATCTGCATGAACCCGTCCTCGCTAAGCTGGGGTCGAAAAGATGAGTGAGAAACGCACGATAAAAAGGAAGGACTTCGGGATAAATCAGCGAATAGCAATTGGCATATAAAATGATGGCTGCACTCACCGGCCAACGCAACGTCACCGGGACGCCATTTACGCTCATGCGGGGGGCACGTTGCCGAGTTCGCAAGATGCGCCATTTGCAGTACGTTCGCTATTGGCGCGTAGTGCGGGATGCACACGGCCTGTGGCGCATGCGCGTGAGAACCATGAACACACACGGGTCGTGCAAGTCCCACCTTGGGTCTTCCCGTGGTTCCGCTTGAGAAACTCAGAAACGCCAGCTTCGTCCTTCCCTCGCCGGGCTTGAGCTTGCGCTCCACGAACGACTGGGGCGCCGCGAGCCCCTCAGCCACGAGCTGATTCAGAGTCACATGCGGTCCATCAATGCTTGTGGTTTCCCCTAGAACCTCCAGCAGAACGATGCGGTCTGCCGAGAGCCCGGCACTGCGTGCGGCTTGCACCGCAACAGAATAGCTCCATGGGTGAACAAAAAGCAGCTTAGCCTTGGTCGCGGACAGCTGGTGTTCTAGCTCGTCCGCGGTGTAAGCCGGATTCGCGGCACTGGACCAAATACAGTGAGACCACGTCTGCAGAGTGTAAGTGACCGCATACGCACGTTATGATAGCACCTAATCTATGAGTTCCCCTGTACACCACGTCAAAAAAGTTATGCAGAGACGCGTTGAAGTAATATTTACCAGACCATCACGGGATAGTCTGGAAACCCGGTCTTACGACTTGATATGACATGAATAAATGCGGAAATCACACACCAATATGGTTTGGACTGAATATGCCCACTGAGGCAGTGCTCAGGCATGATGGTAACGCGTGAGATGACCAAATAGCTTCTTACCGACATCGTCCTCCACTAAGTACGGTGTTAGGGATATCCTGCACAACCGCATTGTAGCATCCACTTGCCTATCTTCCACCGAGAGCTCAAGGCATTTGCGAAACCATGCACGCGGTTACGAATCTCCAGCCGACGGCGTCAATATACGTTGCCCGGTAGAGTGAACCAAAGCACACCTCTGCGAACCCAGCACTCTTCCCCGTCGCGTCGTCAATGACCCAAGGATTTGCTTGCGAGTCTGCCGAGATGGGCTTGCACTCGTGGTGGTAATCGAGCATGAACTGTGCAGTAGTCATGTCGTCGGGAATGTGAGGGACAGGACCCCCAGGCCCATGGAATTCGGACATTGCTTGCAGGATTTCCTTCAGGTGCGCAACGGGAAGCAGCCTTGGGTCGACGTCGGCTAGGAGGGGGGAGCGAGAGGGAACAAACGCGGAAGCCTGGTGCTAGCGTCTTATATGCAGGCTTGTATTGGCGCTGGGCTGATATCGCTAGGCGCACGTGAACATCTCCGGGGCTGCGATACGCCAACGCCAACTTATCTGTTTGCTGGAACTAGTAAGCTCTTAACTAGCCCCCGAGGTGTTGCACTCTGGCCCATGCAAGAGCAGCATCGGGTTTCAAGAAACCAATGCGAAACCACTTGAAGCAAGCTTACATAAGCAGAAACAACGTTTGCTCCGCATTTACGGGAGTGAGAATGTGGTGGCGGCGTCGGCCGCTTCCTTAGCTGCACGGCCGCACACCGCCTCATCATTCAACCTGTGCATACTAGTCCGAGTCAATGAGTTCAACCACCTCTTCCTCTGGTACGCGTTTCTCAAAATTCATGAATCGGATGCAGGAAAAGTTGGGAAAATCGTCCGCTCGCCCAGATTGTATGTCGTTCCTGCTCAGATGGAACTCGAACGACCAGGCATGTTGCGTCCATCCTGTGCTCGGACTCTAGCGCGATTTGATATGCTCAAGACTCTTTCATGATGCACATGCGTATGCGCATTCCGATTGACATGACTGAACCCGAATTATTATAGCGGCAGCCCCACTCCTCCCGCCCCAGCGGGCGTATCCTTCTCCAGTGGGACATGGTGCTGCGGCGCCGAACGACCCTTTCTGGATGCAGAACATCAGACACCAAGGCGTCTCTCCATTTAATCTGGATCCTAACGGCTATCAGGTTTTTCGCAACGTGAAGGACTTTGGTGCTGTTGGTGATGGAGTCGCCGATGACACCAATGCGATAAAGTTCAAGTTGTCTTATGTTGACACACGCATCTGAATGTTGACATCTGTCTTTGGTGTCCCTCTAGTACGGCAATGTCTAGTGGCGGTAGGTGCGGCGGAGGTGATTGGGAGTCGTCGACAGTGGCACCCGCAGTTGTCTATTTTCCGCAAGGGTGAGTTACCTTCGCAGGATGTTTTGCAATGAATCTTACCCTGATCAATCAAAAAGAACATACAAAGTTTCGAAGCCCATCATGTAAGCCGTCAACCGTAAACCTTGTCTGCTTCGTCTGAGGATCATTACCATGTTTAGCGCATATTACTACACGCAAATAATCGGAGATGCGAGAACACGCCCAACGCTACTTGCCGCTCCCAACTTCAACGGAATGGCAGTAATAGGTGATGACAAATCATATTCGGCAAGTTCTTAAAGCACTCCGTGACCTTGCTTGTGTGTAGACGCCGATCCGTACATACCTAATGGCGGCGGCCGACAATGGTATACAAACCAGAACAATTTCTTCCGCAGCGTCCGCAATCTAGTGATCGACCTGCGAAAAATGCCCGATCACGCCTCTGCGACCGGTATCCATTGGCAGGTCTCGCAAGCGACGTCATTAATGAACATAACCTTCCTTATGAGCACTCACAAGAACAACGCGCATCAGGGTAAGGGCGACGCTGTATTTAAACCATATGTTTGAGTGTAGCTAGAGACTAACCTATTAACAGGTATCTGGATGGAAAACGGAAGTGGTGGGTACATGGGAGGTGAGACGCCCATTAGATAACCTCTCTTTCACGTAATAATGATCGTCGACATTCTTGAGATCTTGTCTTCGATGGAGGTGAGGACTTCTACTCCGTGTTGCATATTAAAGAAGCTGATAATTTGAATTATGACAGGAAAATTCGGCATGTGGGTAGGAAACCAGCAGTATGCGCTTAATACTCAGGTACCTTATGCTATGTACTGAGGTGTTTTTGGAGGTTCACAGTACGCAACATTACAATCACGAATGCGGAAACAGGTAGACGATCAGCATGGTTTCCACATTTTCTATTGATGTTGACTCATTTTCCGATTCAGCTGTCTATGGCATGTGGAATTGGGGTTCGGCCTAAACTCCCTTTCAGTTTCCCCATACTTATGAGAACGTCTCAGGATGGACGTTCCAGGACGTGAAGAGTGAGCAAACCGATTGATGAAGTGGTGAGCCTGATTGACGCTATGCTGTAGTCGACAACTGTCAAATCGGCTTTGACCTGAAGACCGGTGGAACGTCCCAGGAGAACCAGGTAAATAAGTGATTCCTCGGTTCATATTGTAGTGTAGAATGCAGCGTATACTCACACATTCCGTCAGACTGTGGGCGCAGAGGCGATTATCGATGCGTATGTTAGCAACACCGGAGTCTTTGTACGCTCCTCTACAGCAACAAATTCTCTCGCGGGTTCTCTGGTGTTGAACAACGTGCACCTCAAGAATGTGCCTGTTGCCGTGGGTATCCTTGGCGGAGACGTCGTCCTCCCTGGCGGGTCCATGAAGATCGATAACTGGCTGCAAGGCAACGTGTATTCGGGGACCAGCGCAAGGCATGCCTTCGTGAAGGGGCACATGCCTACGCCTCCAAAAGCAGGAAGTCTGATTGACGAAACTGGAAAGATTGTGGGAAGAATGCACCCACAGTGGGTTGGTTGCGGCCTTCGGCTCATCTGCTGATTGAGCGACTGGGACAGGTACGAAGACTACGCAGTTGATCAGTTCGTCAGCGTGAAGACCCTTGGTGCTAGGGGCGACGGGCGCACAGATGACACGGCTGTCCTTCAATCTATCTTCAACAAGGTACGTAGATCCAATCAGTCCAGGTCCGATGCAAATATTGATCCGATCACACAGTATGCTGGAAAGAAAATTATTTTCCTTGATCACGGCGTATACTACATCACCAGCACATTGACTATCCCTGCGGGTACGCAGATGGTCGGCGAGGCGTGGAGTGTCATCATCGGCGGTGGTCCTGCCTTCGACAATCCGAACATTCCCACCGTGATGGTCCGTGTCGGCGAACCGGGATCTGAAGGGATAATGGAGATCTCAGACATTTTATTTGTCACCCGGGGTCCAGGTGCGTGTCCTGAATGAGCATGTCTCCACTGATATCGACTTTGAGCAGCTCCCGGTGCGATCGTTGTAGAATGGAACATTCACTCGTCTGTACCAGCTGGTGCCGGCATGTGGGACAGTCACATTCGGTAGGCACACGTGCTGTTCAGCTCTATAGAATTTTACTCATGTGTCGTAATTTTCAATAGTTTGGCCGGGGGTACGTCGTGGTTATGTGATATCTACTAATCCTATTTATAATGACCTCACTATCGGCTACTACAGCGGCCGGTACAAATCTGGAGCGAGCCCAATGTCCTGTGAAGCCCGAATCAAATGCGTGCTTTGCGGCGTTCCTCGCTATGCGTCTGACAAGACAATCAAATGCTTACCTAGAAGTTCGTCGTGTACCCTGACCTCGTTGTAATGATTTCTCATATATGCATTTAGGGAACTTGGGTGTGGCTTGCGGATCACGATCTTGATGGCGATGGAAAGTCACAAATAACTGTCTTCAGCGGACGAGGCATACTTTCAGAATCATTAGGTCCAGTGTGGATGATCGGTACAGGTCGGTCCTGCTTTATTTGAAGCATTGTGATTGGACTAATTGGAATACGTTCCTCTCACTGGAATAGCTTGTGAGTACAGGAATTGTCTGCAAATCATCACGAGCCCTAAGGAGATGCAATGTAGCCGAACACCATACGCTCTACCAGTACAACCTTGTGAACGCTCGGGACCATTACATGGGTTTGATCCAGACAGAATCGGTGAATTCTATATCTCTTTACCTTGTTTGCGCGTCACTTACCAGAGACACGTTTATGCAAGCCATACTACCAACCACAACCGGCACCTCCGAAGCCCTTTGCCATCGATGAAAGATTCAACGATCCGACTTTCCCTCCCGGTTGCCGATCTGCATGGGCAGTGAATGTGAAAGATTCACACAGCATTCTCGTATTCGGTACGTTGCTATAAGTTGCTGTTCGAACCAGCTACAACCGAGGGAATCGTGCAGGTGCCGGGTTGTACAGCTTTTTTGACAGCTACACACAAGCGTGCTTGAAGGACTCGTCATGTCAAAGCCAGTTATTGAACATCGACTCCGCGTCATCCATCAGTATCTACAGCTTGGCGACAGTGGGAGCCACCCATCAGTTAAGCATAGATCATCGGCCAATCATCCCGGCGAGTGCGAATCCAAACGGGTTCCAAGCGACTGTCACCGCCTGGACTACGTGAAAGATGGAACGCTCGTTTGCTATGGATTCTATGGACTCGCCTACTCGCATTTGTATCATCGATCATGTAGGAATATCATCAGTCATCGTGTCTGCAAACGAAACCTGCTGACCTGTGATTTGTGTCCTACTGCGTGACCACGTATGATCGCGAGCATGATCCGGGGATTGGAAGCTTGTGTGGACTGGGTTTGGGCGAGTGGCTGTTACCAACTGATCAACCTCACTGGTTTCTTAGCTTGATGTCCACAAGACACTAGCCAAGTACTTCGTAAGCCTCTCCGATTCGATGCGTATACAACGTCCCCGATAGTCATGTCACACCACACTATCTGCGCCTGTGCACACCACATCTTAGCATCAAAATACGACTGAGCAATGGGAGCACCTAACCTTATCGTGCACGCGACTCTGCGTGCCCGTCGCCTTCTGCGCAAATGAAAAGCGGCTCGCACATCGTTGTTCTTGGGGGAGCTTCTCGCGGAGCGCTGGATGCTGCTCGTCCTTTCTTTCTTGGTGTGCTCGAGAAACGCGTTGACTGCTCGCGCGAGGACGCTGTCGCAATACGATTCGCGATGCGCGTCGTGGCTGCTGCGTAAACCAGGTCGGCGTGCTCTTTCTTGTGCGAAGCGGCGTCGTCGAGTCCGACAGTGGCACGGGAAAGAGAGACACAATTACATACCCTCAGTGCGCCAGGCGCCGGCGCTAGACCTCGCGCGATATGGAGACTGTTTCACGGCCGACACTGCTCGTGTTGGTTGGGAACGTATTTTGAATGGACCATTATGTTCATTAGATTAATGCTGCACATATATATTGGCGTGAAATGCTAGCGTACCGACTTCACAATTCGATCTTTGTGAAGTCAGTGCAACCCTATTTAGGCAACACATCCCCCAAAACAGCTGTGTACTAAATAATGATGACGAATCGTGGATATGAAGTTCGCGGCTATGGGTAGGATAAGGCAAAAGCACAGAAAATCCCACGACATTATGTATCCAATTTCCATTCTAAGGTGGCAAAATGGATACCGAATTATGCCCGTGACTCTAGAGACCTCTCTATGCTCGGTAAATATTCTAGTAGCCGACGCTTTCAGTCCTGCTGAGCGCTAGCGCTCAGCCCGAACATCATCATTACGATCCCCTCTTCACGCTTGGTGGCCTACGCTTTCGGAGCACTACCTCCAGCATCATCAACCTTTGCAATGCGTTGGTGTATCGTCCATCCCCACCGGTACTTCCTGGGCGTACGTTTTCAATCCGTTTCCACTCAGTTGCTCGTGGAAACAGACAATGAATCTGGCGACGCGTAGGAGAACACCAGTAGCCAGTGGCCGTGACCGATAGGCGTCGTGGATATTGAAAAAAAGTTGACTCTCGTAAGACGGTCCTTACTATCGAACACGTTTATCCCATCTAAGACAACATTGAACATTGGGACGAGGTCGTCCCAGTCGTTCGCTTCGTCAAAACTAAGAGCGATGAACCTGGTAATTTACAGTAACAATTATCCCCTTATGCTTTGTTGTACCACTACCACCTGCCGGTAAGCCAGCTGTATGTTCACCCGAATGCGTAGTCTAATTGCCGTCGGCTCTTTCAATCAGGTCCACGGCACCAATCCATCCTCGGCCAGATTCAAATCTCGACCCGACCTCAGCTCGACTACAGATCTTAGGTCTCACGCCACACTGCACATGCAAGTCAGCGGCCGAACAGACGAGACATACCCAATCATGTAAGGCATGGCAAAAGCTGGACAAGACCAGTTGTTTTGTCAGTAAACATGCCGACATGCAACATAGCGATGCTTGACACCTTGAACATGAGTCTTTTGTCGTTGAAACGGTCTGAGTAGCGAGTAGCAAATACCTTTAGGAGAAACACTATGAGAACGACGCCAAACACGACATATTCCGGGGCGACGTACCGGTGTATTCTGTGAACCCTCGTCCAAGAACAGGCACCAGTCTGACCTCAGAAAGGGACGAATCCTACAGCATGATGTCCGTTTATTCAGTGTCTAATTCTTTTTGCGAGTGGCATCAACAACTCACAAATAATTGTCATCCCCCATAGACACGAGACACCAAGGATAACGAATGAGGAAAGGGATGACCGGAATAGCTCTATCGTCCGAGTAGGTGTTCGGAAGGCCGATATACACATCGTGCTCCTGGCTCTTGATGGTGTAACGGCTTTCCGAGTCGCGCTCTATAAATCGAAATCAGAACAGTGTATACGCGCACCAGGCTCACACATGCCTTTTCCTTGCCAGGGACGACACTCGTCAAGAATGCCGGACCGCAAAGCACCTCTGCGTTCTGATGTGTGCCGAGGAGCTGCAGAGCGGCTCCGAATTCAACGTTGACGATACGATAGGTCCCACTACTGGGGGAGCGACTGGTATTCGTAGAGAAGATGTTGTCCATTTTCAAGGAAGCGGGGAGGGGTTGCGCTGCAGTCCACCCCTGCACTCGCTCAATAGATGCCTGAGGCCTCGAGAGGTATTGTCCCACACTCGCTCTTGGGTGACTGCCACCTCTCCAGCGACAATGGCATGGCAAGCCATACGAAAAGCTTGCGGCGAGGAATTATATAGAAGCAGGCTGCCTCGGGCCGTCATAGCTACGTCTCTTCCCTTCATACTGGCGCTCTCATGATGGGCAGCGCGTTGTCTGCGATTTATCGCAAGTTGACTTACGGGGGTATCCTTCCGGGCAGACACCAGATTATCCATGTCTACCATAGAGATCCTCTACAGTATCTCGACGTAAAGCAGAATTCGGAATTGGCTATTGTCCCAGTAGTTCTAATGAGGAGGCCTTGGGGCGAGAACTTAGGTATGTTCCATTTACTGGCATAATATGCATCTGCCCTGACTGTACAACTAGGATACATCTACGGATATTTCGTCGTCTTAGTGCGCCACCTGTGGGGTTGCTATACGATCACGAGTATCGAGTCCAATGTGTATTTTTGCTTGACGCACACGTGCGTCGGCCGCTCCACCTGCCCTACCAGCATTATATTCGTTTCAAAGGCTCGTTGGCGAGAGCGTTCTTTTGTTTCTGAAACCGATCGCGTACTTCAATTGCATCCATTCTTTGCCTCACGAGCAGCCATGTAGGTACGCTTGGAAGTGGAATTCCGGCCGCTTACTCGCTGCGGGTTTCGTCTCGACTTTGCTTCTCACGAGCAGCGTATACCCCATTACCTCCCCTGCGGGAAAGTCCACCTACCGCCCCCTACGCTTCATTATTCATGTAGCTATACTCCATATATTCGTTAGATCGTGCAGAATGTCTTCTCATGATATCGCACAGCATATCCTCATCGTCACTATCCCAGATCGAATAAAATGTTTCAAAGCATTGTGATACGTCCGACCGAATGTTCTCTTGCCACCGCACAACTTTAGCAGACTGGTATACTCGTATTCTGCGATCCTACAAGAGCGTCGTGTTAGTCCTGAACACGAAAGGAATCATTGCAGACAAATTCCTACCCAATACAAGGTCCTACGGTCTCGGAAGAGGTTCCACCATGCCCCTCAACTGATAAGTACCTGACTCTAGTCAAAGTAACAGTCAAATGGAAGCAGCGCATACTCCACGACTTGCATGTGGCACCAGTCCAGGCTGACCCGGAGAGCTGTTAGGACGTAGCGGATGAGCTAAAAGCCCAAGAGGTCAAGTTTCAAGCGGCGCCCTGCCCAAGCGTCAGGAAATGCGCATAGTTAAATATTGGCGTCGGCCGGACTCCTGAAGTATCAGAATGCACTGGGAGCCGGGAGACATGATCGTCATGGTCAACGTGTCCTGGACCGCTGGAGAGATTCGTTCCCGTCGCTCCCCGCCGTCAACGATTTTGCTCATGGAAACAAGCTAGCTCCCAAGGTCCGTACCGACGTGCGCCAGTGACTTTGTGGCATTCCTAATGTCTGTGGAAATAGGTGATATATCCCCTCCAGTCTCCGGGCACGCCCTCGTAACGGGGCTGCCCCACACCTCCTAGCCTAGGCCTCCACAGATACCGTCCGCGATGAATAAATTAGGAATAAAGATAAAGCAATCCCAGAGCAGTACAATCACTACAACAACCTCTTCCTCTTCTTGCGTGGTGACTCTGGAGGGGGTATCGGCGGCAGAGCCTTGATTCTAGCCTCCGCGTGTAGCGCCGCCAAACGCATCGGCTGCTTCCTCGGAGACTGCACGACGGCTGTATCCTCCCGTGTTTCATGTGTTCCCTCTTCACTTTCACTAGCATCGGGCTTGAGGTCCAGCTGCGAGTAGTCCACTTCCTCAGGTTCGTCCTCGCTCTCGATGGTCAGGACTTCGCGTTCCGAGTCGGACTGCTCCCGTTTCCTCTTCGGGGGCTGGTCGGGCTGCTTCTTGCTCTTCGACTTGGGCCTCTGGGGGGACGCCACGTCTTTGGGGCCTTGTTCTTCGACGCGGCATTCCTCAACGGCAACCCCGGCTCGCAACAGGACGTCTATCCACACCTGTACACGCATTATTATAAAATCCACGCCCATGCAATGAAAAAAAAAAACAAACCCTCTGGTTCTCCTGCAGAGTATCTCCAGGACCCTTGACCTCGACGAATTTGCACATACCTTCGTCGGCATTCCAGACGACGAGATCAGGCACACCGCTGGCCCGTCCGGGATAATCTTCACACAACAGGCGACAGATGTCCGCCAGAGCTGAGCCACCCAGGCACTGTAAAATGAATGGTCGTAAACAAGCAATAAGCAGTATAAATAACAACATACTCTCGCGATCTCCAGCAGGTCTTGCTTCTGAAACAGGTCCCACCGGATGCCTACACACCACGTCTGCGTCTCCGCATGTGCATCGTACACACGCTCGAGGATTTCCTCCGCACGGCCGTCCTGCAATTCCTGCAGCCGCCTATCCGCCAGGTCCTTCCGCGAGAAGTAGAACGTATCTTCTGCAATGTCCAGCGGCGCGGACTGGTATGCTGTCTCGAACGCCCCGGGTATGTCCGCGAATATGATGTCCCAGAAGAGAAGCCCATATAGCGTAGTGAGGATTCGCCCTTCGCAGTGGAACCTGCAGATGCGTTAACTCCAACTGAAAATTTCGACATGCGTGCGATATACCCTCTGTAGCCTTGATTCTCATAGTGCTGCAACGCGAGTATCTCTACGCTCACTTCTTCTTGATCACGGCCGCGCCAGACAGACTTCCCGGCTGCTTTGTCCTTGTCCTAATCGCAATACTTAATTCTTCAGGACGTCCCTTCAGCATATCTGGACATACCTGTGCACGCACCTTCTGCGGCGACTCGTTTACAGTGACCCACGGAAGAGACAACTGGACCCGGCCCGCTCCCGTTGACTCCTTCACGGTTACGAGTGGTGGCTTATTGACGACTCGCCCAAGCTGATTGAGCCGCATACTCTCTGCGCGATGGTAGACCCGCACGCCTGTAATGGCAATCTTCTCAGCTTTACTAAGCTTCCCTTCGCATACGTGCCGATTTTCCTCCGGAATCTTCAGACGCTTCTCAAGAATGGTGAGTCTCCGCTCCAACTTCGGCCGATATACTAACGCAACGAGATCAGCGAAGGGTGAAGGGAAGATACATCGGCAAATCTCACCTGTGTGGGTATCTTCGTCCAGAATCGCCTCCCGCACGGCCTTTATCGCGCGATCGTACGCTTCCTGCGTCTTCCCAAAATGGGTCATGAGTATCAGCGCACGCCGTTCGTGCCATCGCCCCCGACGTCCCCTGCGCCATCTCCGTTGGCGGAGCAGGGATTCGATGACTTCCAGCTCTTTCTCATACTCCCTCAAGATGCCTAGAGCGGATGCGCCCTTACAGACTATCCGCGTGAGGATATGTCCTGTGATTCCAACGAACGTCAGTCGCGATCGAGAAAAAGCTCATACAATATACTCGTCATACCACAATCAAATCGCTCAAGCCCATGCGTCTGAATGCGCTCCTCCTTGATCTTGGACATGTCTAGCCACTCAGGATAAATCTTTTCGAAGATCTCCTTGACAGCGCGGGCATTCCGCTGACGTTGTGTATCTTGATCTTCGTCGAGATGATCCCCAAGCGCAGAGTTCATCTGCTCGCTCTTCATCACCGAGGTTGGCAGGCGCTGGCCCAATGGCCCAGGAGTTTGACCAACTGTAGATCGGCTACGCGCTGTTGAACTCATCCCAGTGCCTTCTAAGAAGGCATCCACCTTAGCTTCATGCAGGAGAGCTTCTTCATATTTAATCAGCGCATCTCGTGACAACCAAATGCTCCCAGTCCGCGTCAGCTGATAGGATGGATACGTTCGCTTATGAGCGCGCGCAAGTATAGACGGCGTAAGAAGCGTGGGTGTGTGCTGTGTGCTGTTTTTGAAATACAAACATGAAACTATTCAGTAAGCGTTATCTCGGACGTGTTCTTAGTTTGTGGGACTTACCTGCGAAAATAAACCAGGTTTAGGCGACGAAATAAAGTAAGGACTTCCTCCTTGATCCTCACACATTTTTCTGACGACGGATCGCTGAGTGATTGGAGGATGATAATCAAATGTGAACATACTTAGAGTCTTCATGACAATCTGCCGAAGTCGGTGTGTTTGTGTAATCCGAGTAGAGGGAAATGACAGCTTCGTCTGCACCATCTTTCCCTTCTCTTGACGTGGAAACGTTAGAGTGCTTTGAGTTGACGAATTCGCAAGCAGAGCGCTGATGAGCGTGTCCCGCTAAGAGCAACTAGTCTCGGGAAAGCTGCAGCATGTTTTCGACTGAAAGAGATACTCACCGATACAGTGATCTTCTTGACTTTGAATTGCTGAGCAATGGTCTTGAGTTCTGGCAACGTGAGACACTGCAGCAAGTCCTCCAACTTTGCCTGTGATTCGTCATCCGCAAAAACAGCACACGGAGCCTCGTTGGCCGCTGGTAGCTTCAATTTCGAGAGGCTAGCTTTAGGAACGCCGTCTTCGTCATCACTGATGGGATCAACAACAACCTCCTCCGTCTTCACTATCACCTCTTCAGCTGGCTTGGCGGCAGTGAAACCGCAAAGCGCATTGATCACGGAAACAATATCTCCAAGCTCGCTCTGGTAGTTAAGCGCATCGAGTCGATGCCAGCAATTTGCTTTACGCAGGCACAAGCGTATGAGGAGGTACTTCGCCTCGTCTGACGTGTTCAACTCAGTCTAGACCCGAAACGAGGCAAGGCGCGCTCTTACAGGTGAGCGCTTCGTAGGATCCCAGAAGTGCCTGTTCATCCAAGGTAAACAGACGCTCTTCGAGCGGGAAAATAGCGTATAACATCTCTACGAAGTTCGCGTTTTAAACCCGGGGCCGCGCACAAAAGGCAGGAGGACGCACCTTCAAACAGAATAACATACATCGACCTCCCTCGTTCCAATCCATCGCCTTTCGTGTCTTCGAGATTTACGGCCGCGGTCGGGGTGGATATGGTGGAATGGTGACCGTCTATGCCGTCCCAATAGACCAGGCTGCCGGCCGCGTTGCGTGGGGGAGATCCAGATACCATGATGAGGAAGAACACTGCTGAAATCAAGAAAGGCTACAAGAACAAAGACAACAGAAATGAATATACAGAGGTGCCAATACAGAGATATGTATCGACGCTGAGACGATGGCTGCAGAGTTACAGATACTTAGGAGCGCCGCCTACAGTCGCGTCGCGTCTATCACAAGTGTGACACACGCGTTTGACACGTGCCGCAGACGCGATGAACAAGTCGACGCGCGTAAGTATCGGGCAGCATTGCATGATCGAGCCGCATACTATCCATCTTATGAATTCATTAATTGTGAAGTATTGCCCGGTCATTGAATTGCGCGAATGCTATGCGATTGGAATATGTGAAATTTAAAGAGTGGGAATAGCATCAATAAAATAACGAATACAATGACTGCATTTCCCGACTCCAAGTTGGATGCAACTTCAAGGCCGTGCTTTGAGATTCATCTTCATAATTCGTACGGAGTCATAAGGTCATCACACTCATCAGCCTACACACCCATCAATACCCCCTTCTCAGCCGTTCGTTCTCCTCCCGCAACCTCCTGTTCTCTTCCTGCAGCGACGAAATCTCCCCACGAAACTCGTCAACCACCGACCGCAGCTCGCTGCGCAGCCCACGACCCATCCGGAGCATATCCAAGTGCAGTCCGACGAGTTCTGTGCGTGTCTCCTGTCGGAAGTCGTACATCGCGTCGCGGAGCAGTGTCTGCAGGAGATCAGCTGCAGCGTGCGAGCGCGGCGAGGTAGGATGCGGATTCGCTAGGTTGCGCAGCGGCGACGGGACGGGGGCCCAGTCGGATCCTCCTGCGAAAGTCCGGCGGGGAGTGACCTGCACCGCCAACTTCGCGCCGGCATCGCACATTTCTTCTTCGGCCACCTCTTGGTCCGTCTCGTCGCGGTCTTCACCAGACAAGGCACTTCGCCGTCCGTCGTCTCCGTGAGACGCAAAGCCAACACGTCTTCCTTCCATTTTGGGTTCAGCCTCCTCGTCCGAGGGGTTTTCTTCCCCCGCTCGAATCCACTTGTCGACTTCGGGTGTCCCCAAACCCAGAACGCCCATTGCTCCCATCTTTCCCTTCCCCTTGTTCACCCCTTTGCCCATTGGCAATGGCGTGATCGGTGTGGCCAGTTCAGTGTCAGGTAGATCCGGGCTTGGCGTGAGCGAACTCCGAGCCTGCGCCTTATACGCGGCCGGAACAGCAGGAACAGGTGGAATGGAGGAGATGGATGACGACCCCGATGCAGAGGACTTGGTCGATTTGCCACTGCTGCTCGCGCTCCGGCTGCTACCTCCAGATACGGAGCGTGTGCGCAAAGTGGCAACAGAAGCAGAGCTAGATACTCGAGTACGTGTCTTGCCATTCTCCGAGTGTGAGGATGTACGTGACGAACTCGGTCTTGAAGCCGAAGTTGTCATAGGTGGAGAACCTGAGCCGATCTCAGTGGGAGCGACATTTTCCTTTGCTTTCGCCGTTTGGAGAGATAACAAGTTCTCAATTGACACTGAAAATCACATGAGCATTAGACCGAATTTAACAACAAGTTACCTACCGGAAATATCAGGATCCTCCTCCTTATCATCCTCCGTAGAGGCTATCTGACCGAGGGGCGACTTGGGAGGTGAAAACACCCTTTTTGTAACCCCTCCAGCGCTTGCTTTCCTTGCCATTGGTGGGGCACCTCTTGTCCGCGCCAATCGAGGGGACTCTACAGGCGCTGCACGAGTCTCCCGTGCACCTTTACCCGACAAATTGCGAGCTGTAATCGGCGAAAGCAGTCTCGCTTTCATAGACCCGGTGGTGGCCACCTTCTTCCTTGAATCGGCCGCACGCTCCATATTCCGTTGAGGATTCTTGTTTACGTCTTGTTGCGCAAGTGGCCTGCTAGTCGCCACCGCAGTAGGCTTAGGAGCAATCTCTTCTTTTTTGAGCTTTTTCTGCATCCGCCATTTGCAAAAAGGCCAATGCTAACACTACACGAATGCTCACCTGCATGGACATTGCTACAACACGATCTCCCTGCTCATTGATCGTGATCGACTTTGGTGGTTTATCAAGCGAGCGCAAGTCCTGTATAAACACCTTCCCATTCTCCGTGCCCGCGTACAGCGTCGCACCTTCGCCCGAGAAGGTGACTGAGGTCAGGGGGACGTGCACAGAGATCGTCCGACAGAGTCTGCAGAAAATGTCAGGATCGGATGATTAAAAAAGCAATCGCACTGCAGTAACTCACCCTTTATCTTTCTCCAAGTCCACGAGGCTGATGAAGCCCCCGCTGCACGCCACCGCCACCAGCGTCTTGCTAAAGGGGCTGCTTGAAATCGCGACGATATCCCCCGCACTCTTCTCCTTGCATACTGTAATACTCTTCACGGGCCCCGACGGGCGTGTGGTGTCGTACACCAGCAGCGTCGCGCCCGCGCCCACCAAAAGTCGTGTACGCGCGTGCGGATGGAACGCGCACGCCCGCACCTCTCCTGCTCCCACCGGGAGCCCGCGGAGCACTGTATGCGCACCGTGTGAGAGATTGTGCACATGCACTGCGCCAGCGGACGCAGATGCAAGCAGACTGGCGTCGTTCGCGAGGGCGAGGGCGACCACCAACGTCTTGTGCGCATCGAATGTCTGCACGATCCGCCGTGCATGTGCTTCAAGCACGCGCACTTGCGCGCCTTGTGCAAAGACGATGGTGTTCCCGCGGTCTTTGGAGACGAGAGCGGTTATGGGCCCGTCGTCGCCGGACGGGCAGAGGTAGATAGTCGAGAGCACGTTTGTGGACAAATCATAAGAACTGACGTTGTTGGCGCTCGACAGGGTTAAAGAGCTGTTGTCCGAAGACCAAAAAATGGCTGTAGGAGATGCATCCAGTGGGAGAGTAGACGGAGTCGAGGACGAGACTCGTTTTAGAGCAGCGTGATCAAGAATTGCCAGGGAGTGTGATATGGCTACCGCGAGCATTGCATATAGAACCTGAGATTTCCGCGAAGAGAGAGTGGAGGGGGATAGCAAGATGATACCGCGGCGGAGGTGGCGGGATAGGAAACGAACTTGGAACGCGTCGCGTCGCAACGCGGTCACGTGACAGACGCGTCACGCCGCATCGAGGCAGCAAGGTGGTAAATTATAAAGCTGAATACTTCAGATGTAACATGGTGCGTCCTCAGTTGCAGTTCATCAAAAGCGGCTATGATCCAAGTCTCAACGCAAGTTGCTCAATGCCATCCGTGTCCGCGATTTGTTTTCTCTTGCTGCCAGAGCTGGAACCCTTCGGTTTCCTGCATCGTATTGAAGGCTGCTCAGAATGCCAGAGCGCATTACTTTGCTGCGAGATGACCAAATTACATGAACTGGTTTCACCCGTCAACTTCATATTTTACACCTATCTCTATGTCCGCGATCGCAATACTTATTGTCAGTCGCGGATGAAATTTCCCGCAGCTCGCGCTCCATGCTACGTCTCGCTTTGCGTATACATATATGATCAGGCGTTGTCGTAACACAAGGGGTGGTTCACTGACAAATGCATTGGCGTTCAGGATTCCGTGCAATGTTCAAGTTAGTGTTCTCGGCTCACGCCAACTGCCTCGTTGATTTCGCACTTTTGTTATTGCGGAAATGTTGGTGCTGCAATCTTAATGCCAACAGAGTTTTGCGCCCTTCATGAGCTCTGCCATTAGGTACGCACGAACGTGAGTCCATTATTTTTCCTGAGCTGTTTCTTCGAATCCACTGCCTCTGATATGGAATCAGTTTGCATCAACGTTCCTCTTTGCCTCGTTGTACGAGGTGCATGTTTGGGATCAGGCTAATGGCTGCAGTAGAGAATCTAGGCGAGGCTATGATTGCGGTTGAGTCAAGGAGAGTAAAGCAGAATGAAGTACCGAAGGTAGACATGGTTTATCTGTTTATCTGCTAGGACCTAAACGAAAATACGAATGAAAAAGTGATACCGCGCCACCCAATAGGTCTCGGTGGAAACTCCTACACTACCCAATACACATCAATCCTTGCGCTCTCCATATATGCCGCCCACCCAGGATAACGGGGTCTCATCCAGAGGGTCACACAATCCCCAACTTCCAGTGATCGGATGAAACTCCCATCAAATAATTTCCGGCCCTGACCCCGCGTGTCCGTTTCCATAGCGGCTTGAGATCCTTCTTCGACATCGTCGAGATAGTGCCACGTTACGGTGTGGAGACGAGGTCTGCCCTCCGCGTGGACATTCCTTTGAATGTGAGTGGATGGAATACCGAGTGTCGGATGCAAATCGTGCGCCCGGACAAACTCGAAAGGAAGTGCCTCCAGATCTGCCGCATCAGATTCCATCGAAAACAGACGTTGTGGCCAGATAATCTCGCGGCACAGGACATCGTTTGATCTGATGCTCTCTACGCAAGCCATGTGTACGAGCCTCTGTATGTGCCTACGCCGTTATTTGACGACCAGCCTTGGTCATGACTCTGCATCTGAAACTTGATCATCCTGCAGGGGTGCCGTCCTCGCGGAGGCAGCCACCCACTAGACGTCGCTTCGCCGCCGATTGTCAACATTGCTGCTTGCTCAGCTGTCTGCCTAAAACTCCCCTCCGTCCCGTATAGTGCCAATGGCAATGTGCGCATGTACATCTTGCTCCCGATGATGCTATCTGCGCCAGAACGCACGCACTCGTGGCGTTTGACCGTCAACGAAGTGTGAGCCCAATACGAAGCCATATCCAATATTTCGTCAACAAGCTCGGTGGGGAGGGGTGTACATATCCGCTTGAAGTATGTCTTGACCAATTGAATCTCCGGGATCGTAGGTTCGTACTCATGCGGAGCCTCGATGGGCTTGTCATCCTGCGTTTCCAATTGTATTGGGTGTTCTCTATGTCCCCTGGTTCCGCGAGTAGTGCGAGGGGGAAAGACAGATATCAAGCTATCGCCTACTGTCAACGAATCTTGCACGGTACGGTCTGGTAGTATTAATAGGACGTACCTCCCGCACATTGAAGCCCGTAAGTAGCGAATTTGGTGAGACAGACCGGCTGTATGGTATGAACCAGGGCTTCACTCCATACTTTAAGCCGCGTAAGCAACGGATCGCGCAGTATAAGGCGGATACAGGTCGAGACTAGTGAAGGCGAGCAAAGTGGCGATACTCGTGCTGCGGCACGGTAAGAGCTTCGTGGCCACCCAGTATGAATGGTGACACAGGAGCAGAGTGAAGATGAGAGGGAGCATTGCATATATATATGAAGGCGTCTAGGGAGCATGATGGACGCGTGATACTGGTGGGATCTGAGATGGCTTGGAAATGATAACTAGAGTGTCATATCATGCCACCACGACATAGCAGCCGGTTAGGCCAGCACAGTATCGAGGAAAGGACGAATAAATGATCTACACCTACAATCAAGATTCTAGGGCACAGGGTAAACATGTCAGCAGCCATGGAATGTAAGTGTGATACAGATTGGATTCGAAGGAAGGGGTGAACTGAATTGCAGAGTGATTGCATCATGCTACCAAGATGTAGCAGCATGTTGTGAGCAATCAAGCTTGGTCTGTACCTACTGTCTACGTAGGACTAGGCCTTCGGGGGCAATAAGAGATGAAAAAAGGTTTGATCTGTCTTTACGGCTCACTTCGTCACCCATGGAATATGGACCGAGTTACCGGTATGGTAAGTACTACTTCATGCTTCGAAGAGCGGAAAGCTTACAGAGCATTCCGCATCAAGATCTCCAGAACACGGACTCAAAAAGTGTAATTGTAGGTACAGGAGTAATTCAGCCTACGACGCATTCACACTGGACACAGAGCCCAGACATTGAACCGTGATTGAACAGTGCAACAAGTTCTCGACCTTCACGTAAGCATTGGGTATTTGATTTAGAGTCCTTTGCCACAGAAAAAATGACGCACCTGGTCCGGTATGCACCACGATTGACCTCAGCACATAGTTGATCGTCCCGCCCTCAATGAGTTGGTCGTGGAGGGAAATTAGACACTTTGCCTGATTAAATTGCGCTCGAGGGACACACCAGGCTGGTGGGGCATCTGTGGATTGCGTAACCAGATTTGGTAGATTAAAACTCGCCGTAAGATTGGGTTCATATTGATATCGCATCTCGATGGGATCTGAGAACAGAATTGCAGATTCTTGCATTAAAATCAGGATGCAGTCTGCCATTCGTTCGCCGGATTTTACAACTGACATGTTGCACCATGATTATGATGCTAGTTACAGGGAAATGATAGAGTAGGACCCACATTGCACGACGCACATATCTCGTAACAACTTCTCGAAAGTGCCTCGATGCTGACTATGTCTATTACAAGGTGCATTAGCCAAATCGTGCTGCTGCCTTTGTATGGTTCTTCTTCTCTTCCGGCGAGCGCACGATATGCTCGAACCCCAAACGGCGACGTACGCGCATATAAGAGTATACTGAAATTGATTAAGAAGCGATGGAATAAGATACCGGAGGAAGCGTATCGATGTAGCTGTTGCGCGTGACACCGCACAGGTCCTGACAGGCAGGTCTTATAGCCACCGGGCGCACTTTTCGTCGCTCGGCCCATTAGAAAGCATCATCGCGAAGGATTCTTGCTGCCTCGCTTCCTCTGCTCACGTGTTAGCGCACGAGCTCCATCGGGGGGCACAATCTTTGTTATGCTTCCACGGACAATGATATTTGAAGAATACAAGAAGAGCTCGCTGTGCTTTAATCGCAATTCCGGAGGCGTCTCTCGGACTCGAACTCGAATCGGAAATACTCCGGAAATCCCCTCAAATCGAGCACTCCGGACGCCCCCAGGGAAGCCAATAAGTTCTGCAACGCACCTACAATACTCCCGAGATAATATAATGAATCGAATTGAAACCCCAGCAGTTTGGATAGCTGCCGGATGAAGTATAGTGCACTAGTACCTCCGATGCGGGGGTCAATATTGCAACCGGTGAGTACCAATACAGCTATAATATAAAGATGAGAAGATCCACATCGCGGAGAAGCTGGAACGGGAAACGTACTCTTCATATTCATGGATCGTTTTCGGAGAATCGATTGGACACGACCACGAGTCCTAACCCCTTTGTATGCGATGGCCGCATTATATGAATTCTTCGCGGAACCCAGAAGTAGTTGAAGCAGACTGATTAGTGTGCCAAAAGTAATCCCTGATTTGTGAGACTCCCGCCGTCGTAGAAGATGTAGAAGATGCGTTCTGGATTCAAATTGAGATATCGAAAGTATCCGAGGATGCTATCAAGTGCGTCCTTTGTTATCTGCGCAACATTTGGCGTCACAGATCTCACACCAAATCGTTTTGAACGCAACGGATGTTTCCCGGTAGTTGCCGTGCCATGGACACTGCTGCCGCGGAAATGCCAGATCCGCTAACTCGAAAGGTTTCAGTGTACTTACAATACGGAAACGAACCCCTCGTGACATCGTCCGACAATCTGCACAAACTGTTATGTCCCCCATCTCTCTACGTTCTTCAAAGATTCCAGAGGTCGTAGAACATACCTCAATTGCTTCCGAATCGACATGTGCGAAACAGTGTCAGGAAGTTCAAACCCTTACTCCCCTCCAGGCTCCCGATAACAAACGATCAGCACGCGTTTACGATCGGTCGTCAAGAGGTACGATAGATAGATCCCGTACGCTGCCAAGTACGCAGTTTCACAAACCACATAAAACCTTCATGTCATCACATTGACTAGATTGAAACTTCCGTACATGTTACATATAAATATCTACGAGTATATTAGGATGATGTGGACCAACAAAACCCGGAAACGTGTAAGGAGCAATGAGGGGTGGGTACGTACGCGGCATAAATAGCAATAATAGGCACGCGCATACAGACTACAAGAAATGCGTTTTACTTTAGTGCCTTTTTCAAACGGGAAGAGGTGCGTGGCTCGTGCATTTCTGCAGTGCCTGCAGAGGAATTAGAGGACGTCCGCCGGTGGCTGAGCCGGGTACGCCATGAATGTTTGCGGGACGTATCCGCGTGGTTGGGTAGGGAAGGGGTGGGCGGCGCTGACATAGGCGGCGAAGATATCGCTCGTACATCGGAGTTGCCATTCGACGGCGGCGGCGATGCGGCTCCGTTGGGCTGATGTGATGAGCCGCTATGACAAACGAACAACACTAAGTCATCGATTCACATTCACGGACGATCGAGAGATTCACCTGCGAGACTTCAAAAGTTTGCCCTTTGGCGGGGACCGCCCGGGAGACGAAGGAGTCTCGTGAGCCGCAGGTGCGCTTTCTGATGTCTGCGTGCGTGGTATCTTAGACGACGACCGCCACCGCGGACTCAGGTGGGCAGGCGGATTGTGCCATGACCAGCGCCGCTTGCCCTTTGCCCGGGGCGACGAGCCGACCTCATCAAAATCCGGGCCAGGTTGAGCGGATGGGGCGTCAGCAGCAGGGGGGGAAGGTAATGCAATCGTACGTGAGCGCGGACTCTCTACGACCGTGGCGTCATCTTGATGACTAGAATTTGGGCGGCTAGCGGGTGGATGACCTGTCGCGCGACTGCGTCGTACTTGCTGCACGTAATCGACCGCCTCGGGAGAAGCCGGAGTAGGAAAGAAATAGGGCGCCGCGTACGGATTAGTCCGTGGAATGAACTGAGCTTCGGTGTGTGTCGGAAGACTGTGTTGCCGTACAGGACAGCAATCCAGCACCCTCTCCTTGACTAGAAGACTAGTCAGATAGTATCCGGCGAGGAGATGGGAGTACGACTTACGGTCTGCGAGGGGCACACTTTGGACTTTGGCGAGCGGAGGGGTCGATGGCCCGGCCTCGGTATGGTGAAAGTGTTCGGCACACGACGACATTAATGACAGCGCACGGATGGGGGTAGGAGGGCAACGTTTCCGCGATTTCTTCTCTGCAGGGACCACCGGCAAGGAAGGTTGTTGCGGAAAGGGGAATTCTTGGAAAGACGACGATGCGTGCGAAGAAGCTTCTGATCCTGGGGTTGGTGCAGCGTTGTGTCGTCTAGAAGAAGCCGGTATATCAACTGGCGAAGGGGAACTAGTAAGCTGAGCAGGAGTCAATCCAAAATTTTGAGGGGGTGAAAGCGAATTTTGAGGGGCGATTTCAGAGTGTTGTAAAATATCAGAAGCGGCTCGGACAGGGTGGTCTGCACGGCGACGCAGGTTGTCGAGCCGTGGATGTTTTTCTGCGTCCCGGGGGTAAAGAAGTAGACTCGACAAGAGGCTCTGCAGCCGCAACTGAATAGGGCTGCGGCAGGAAGGATTCAAATAGGGACTTACCACGGTGATGCCTACGAGGGCGAGAAGTGCACCTGTGAAGCCTACGACAACAACTCTCAATCCTGCACGCACGAGGTCCATACCGACACCGGTATTCCAGCGAAGGTGCGCGAGGATGGGTTGATGCTCAACGAGGTGGCAGAGGAGAGTGCTCGAGCGAATCTCGTCGGCAGCCCAGTCAAAGACATTCATGGCCAGACACAGCGACGAAACGGGAAGGAAAAATAGGAAGAGGCCAGCCTGGAAAAGAACAAAGGATGAAGGACAAAAGGCGGGCGGGAACACAGAGGGCGAGTCTTATACATAAAGGAGAGGGTGATACAGGACATCGATGGCTCTGGAACACCGAAAAGCTCGGCGACGGGAAGAGGCAGCTGCCTTGACGGTGACGCGCGCGGCAAGCCAATCTCGGGTTCACGTGTTCGCCCTCCCGCTTGTTTGGTCCGCTCACTCAGTGTATATGACACACGTTCCCCGCCCAATTAGCGTCCTCCAAGCCTTTTTGGGCGGTAAGAGTCCCGCTCCGCTTGGCCCTCTCCTGTTACTTACTTGACCGAGTCGTCCAGCTCTCTTGCAGTCATATTTGGATCAGTACCCACATGATTACCCCCAATCGACGCTCTCGTGATACTGTCACAAACGGCCAGGAGTATTTTGGCGGCCGAGAGGAGTATGGTATAGGTTACAACACGTACATATTTTAACCTCAGCCCTGAATGCACGATCGACTCGGTTGTTCCCCACACTTGTCTCAGATTACAAGAGCCGCTTTCTATCCTCCATATACCCAATGCCGCTGGTTGTGATCTACCCGGCGCACAATTCATTCTCTTTATAGCTTAAAAGTTTCGAGCAAATTTAACCCAGATGCCTGGATTTGCCTGGACTTGCAGGCTCACATCCCACCATTCCGTTAGATTACTGTAGGACTGAAGGAAAATCGAGACAGCGTGTTGTATCTAGATACATCCAAAATGGACCACTAATATGGTGTAGTCATCTATCACTCCTCGAAATGCAGGCTTTTGGAAGGTGCAATTCTGAACATATTGCCTTGGAGTTTTTGCCACAGTGTTCCTAGATTTATGACCTCTTTGCACATATATTTTTGAGCAGAATGTGTACTCTTGATGCATTGCTAGACATAAATCTGTCATGAAGTGGTGCTGAGGCTGAATTTCTTAAATGTGATTGTTGAGTTTTGCCAACACTGGCAGGCCCATTGACTATCTCAACAAATCAGTGATAAGTTCAGCTTGCTCTAGACAATCAAAACCTGAGAGATCAAGTGTGCTTGCTATTATGGATGGGAATTTTGCATATGAGATGGCAGAATGACAGTCCTGCCAGCCACAACTGTGACATCATGCCTTCCAAATCTGGCGTACCCAACGCGCAGTTAGTAATCTTATCAGTCTTGATTCGCGTGACGTGACACCGGTTCAAGGAGTAGTAGAAGCACTGATAAGACATTTTTGCACTCTTTGCTCTCGATTTCAGAGCCCTCTGCATCGATATTGAAAACATTGTATATATAATTCATCACCATCTGTATGCTACAGATATCATGGTGCAATTGAGGTCAAATGAGGCTGGCAGTTTTGCCGAATAGGTGACTACAAGTTTCATTCCGAATACTTTACTTACTTACACTCTATTACTTTCCTTATATGGCAACATCGTTACGTATTGTTAGAGACAGTGCTAGCCCGTCGACTTCCGTCCCCGATTATCATATCCCGGACTGAGGTACGTTCCTTACTATCTATATGTATCTATATGCACTCGTACTGATTCGTACACAGGCATTCGTTGTTATAGGTACTTCTAGTAGTCCCCGATTATCATATCCCAGACTGAGTCATTCATTGTTATGGACTTCTGTTACGGTACACCAGCTGGTTACTTGAAGCACACAAGCCCAAGCTCAACTGCACTTGATGACACTATGTATGCAATTCTACCTCAAGCGAGGGCATCCGTACGCAAAGATTGCCCATTTTCTTCAACGGTCCTGGTGAATGACGAGCTTCATTGTAGGCTCATTCCGGCGCCGGAATATGGGCCTACCATACGATGGGTGGAATATTAGATAGACAGGCAGATATACAATCTACAATCTAAGTTAAGGCCCGACAAATCTAAACATTCTACTGATGACCTTCGGAAGACCCAAAGAAAGAAAGTGAAATAAAGCAACGGACATCAAATACCCTTCTAGATATGTGTAATAGATGCGACGGACGACGTGGTGAGTGTACAGTTAGCAAGTGAAAGCCCAAAGTAGCGGGTCATCAACTTTCCCAAAGGCGTACCTCGAGTAGGCTTTCATCGTTATTGTATCTCAAACGCAGGAGACGCACAGCGTACCCCTGTCTCGAAAACCAGCTAGGCGATCCGAGATCAAATCCTGCACATCTTGCCCGATTGGACTGCCGGCACCCTCCAAGCTGATATGAAACATTACCAGCAGCCCCTTGAACTCCTCCCTAGACAGATCGCGGTCAATTCGCTCCCAGTCCAGACTGAGCAGGTCGTTCATGGACGTAATCTCGAGATCAAACGTCACCTCTTGCAAATGTTTCGACCGGATCTGTGAGAGCATGGTGGTGACCCAGGGAAAGAGGTCGGTGGAGAAGAACGTGCGCGAGGCGCCTGCATTCAGCCCGCCGAAATGCACGGAGCGAAGGCCGGTATTGTGTACCAGGCTGATCTGGTTCTGCGAGACTGCTGTGGGCGGCGAGGTGCGAGCATCAGTGCGGGCCCATACGTTGTCGATGGCAGCGCCACTACTGACCTTCTTCTGGGACGCCCGCTGGAAACTCGACCAGCAGACGCTCAAGCGAGGCACCGCTGGCGTGCAGCAGGTCGCCCACCGCCTTCATGTGCTCTATCTCGCGCCAACACAGCTGGATCGTGCGCAGG